TGTTTCAGTGGCGTTGCTTTTCCCTACATTGAAGTAGTTAGTGCTCTCAAATTGGATTTTTTCTGTGAAGCTTTTGGAAAGATTTTGATATTGAGAAAAGCAACACAAATGACAGGCTTTTTCATTACGATGATGTTGCCTTATATGCTGGTTGCTTTTGTATTTTTCATAATTAAGTTTATTATTTTAAAGGGTCGCAGTGCATTCCCATATATATCAAGTAAAAATTCAGAGTCGTCCAGAAATAGCTATGTAAAGATTTATGTTGTAAAGGACCTGACAACTCAGCCAGATGTTGCCAGGTCAACACGTGATTCATTCCAACAGTGTGAAGCACTTCCCTATGGTAATGGATCGTATTTGTAAGACAAAAACCATTGCTGGTACCTCCCACATTCTAATTTAGTCAAAGTTTCTGTTTTGCCTTTGGCTTCATCACCAATCCTGCTTGCATCCAAAAGATCCATATCCCTACAGCATTTCAGCCAATGCCTGATGGGCCAACCCATGTCTTAAAAACTTCATCATTGTAGTAAAATTATTCTTGGTGAAACATTATTCTCAATAATATACAAGTATGGATGTCTTACTAGTTCACCAGATTCATAATATGTCTAAACAAATCAGAAGACTGAAATGGAGATGCCTTTTGAAATGAACCCCTGCCAGAAAATTTCAGTACAATAGCACAACTTGCTATGGGGGCACTGGGGAATGTGTGGTAAGAGGACACCATATTAGAATCCCTACAGTGTGGAAGCTGGCCATTCAGCCCACTGAGTTCTGCACCAATGCAGCCCTATCCTCGTAACTCTGCATTTCCCATGGCTAATCCACTTAACCTATGCATCCTTGGACGCTATGGGCAATTTGGCACAGCCAAGCCACCTAACCTGCACATCTTTGGACTGTGGGGGGAATCTAGGGCACCCAGAAGAAACTCAGTTAGATGCAGGGAGAATATGCAAACTCCTGAGGCTGGAATTGAACTCAAGTCTCTGGCGCTATAAGACAGCGGTGCTAACCACTGAGCCACCATGCCACCCACATGATGGCTGCTGATTCAGGATAAAGAGGAGCATTGATTTATTCTGAGATTGATGTTCAAAATTAGAGGAAGGTGGGCTTCTGATTTAGGATTAGCTGTGAAGATATCACTAGATATAGTGGAATGGGCAATATGGAAGCAAATGGCAATGGCTATGAATGCTATCTTTATAAACCCAAAGGACCCCCACCATTTTTCAATGCTGAATAAAATTTATTGACCTCACAACAACAACCTTCATTGGTGTATCAATTTTAAACCAGTAAATGTCCCAAAACACTTTGTAGAAGTATAATTAGACACAAATTAACATTGAACCAAAGGAAGATACTGTATAGGACTGGTGATCAAAAAGATTGGTCAAATAAATGTGTATTAAAGAATGCCTTAAGGGTGACATAGAGGCAGACAGTTTGAGAGAAAAAATAGCAGAAGTAAGAGTCATACCAACTGATGGTTTACTCTCCAATGCAGGGGCAATGGAAGTAGGTACGGTACAGGAAACCAGAGCTGAAGGAATATAATAACAGGAGGAATGGAGGAGATAGTGGAGGCACAATTACATTCAAGTCTCATATCCTAGGTTTACATTTCCTTCGAATTATGATTATTAACATTCATTCTCTGAATTAAGATTGACTGAGAGTGCAGGATCTGAAGACTGCTGAAACTCATTAACATACGCAGTGCTCCAACAAGAGAACAGCATACACTGTCATCATCACAGTCATTGGAAGGAACTCCAGCCAATCTAGCTTTAGTGGGTCTGTGAGCTCATATACCTTTTCTTATACAATAGAAACATGGGATCAGCTGCAGGCTTTTCAGGCTGTTGAGCCTGGCCCGCCGCTCAATACAATTGTGGCTGATCGAACACCTCTATGTTGTCCGTTACCCACATCATCCTCTGAAGCCACTACACTACTGGTAATTAGAAGTCTATCAATCTCTACCTTAAATATAGTCAAAGATTGAGCTTCCACAGACCTGTATGGTAAACAATTCCAAGGTTTGCAACCCTTTGATTAAAAATATTTGTCATCATCTCGGAACAAAGAAGCACCCTATCACCTCTTGATTTTAAAATCTGCCCCCTGGTTCTAATCTCCCCACCTAAGGGAAACATATTGCCTGCAGCTACCTGAAAAGTATTTTGTAAGTTTCAATGTGATCACCTCTTGTTCTTTGAAACTCTAGAGACTAGTTTGCCCAATCTCACTTCAGGGGATAAGACCCATCATCCGGGGAATGAGACTGGTGAACTTTCATTGACTCCCTCAATGGCAATCATATCTTTGTTGAGATAAGGAGACCAAAACTGCACCGGTATTCCAGTGGCCCGGCATGGTGTTCTCATCCTGGAGTGGCAGTCACGTCCCAGCTGGATCTTCAAGGCTATTCCATTGTTCCTTAGTCTACTTTCCCTGAGCCCTGGAGCTATTAACTGAACTGTGATGAACTTTGTCTAAATTTTACTTTTTTTAAAATAATGTATGACTTCTGTCACTAATACAGGCACCATGTTGACTTATAAAACTTTTCACTGTATTTTTCATGTAAAAATACATGTGATAATAAAGCGTCACAACTGGTGGAGACCCATTTTTGAAGCTCAGCTAACTTTTATCCCGATAATATGGTGATTGAATTAAAGGAATTAATAGGTAAAGTCTTACCAGACTGTAGGGCTGCTTTCTCATATCAGGGAGATGACGTAACCTGAGGGTCACCATGCCTCTAGCAAGGGGAGAGGTTGAGAAGGAGGGAACTTCATAGTAAACTCAGCAGGTGTAGGAATTGAACCCATGCTGTTGGTATCATTCAGCATTGCAAACCACCCATCTAGTGTACTGACCTCTAAAGGAGTTGATCACAAGCTAAATTAAACAAAGATACTTCATGGTAGACAAACAGGAGGCTGGAAGAACACAGCAAGCCAGGCAGCACCTGGAGGAAAGGAGAAGTCAACGTTTTGGGTATTACCCTTCTTCAGGACTGTTTTATTACTGAACTAACCTACACTTATATATTGCTCGTTGATCAAGTATTGGTCAAACAGGGATTCACAATGAAAGCAGTGCTTAGTGTCATTGATTCACAGAGGTTTACAGCTTGGAAACAGGCCCTTTGGCCCGACTTGTCCATGCCATCCAGTTTTCACAAATAATCTAGTCCCTCCATACCTATCCCATCCATATACATGTCCAAATGTTTGTTGAATGACAAAATTGTACCTGTCTGCACCACCACCATCACCACCTCCGACAGCCTGTTCCAGGCCCTCACCACCATCTGTGTTAAAAAAAATTGCCACTCTGGGCCATTTTGTATTCTCCCCTCTCACCTTAAACCTATGCCCTCTAGTTTTAGACTCCCCTACCATGGGGAAGACCTGTTGGCTATCTACTTTATTTTTGCCTCTCATGGTTTTTATAGACCTCTATAAGATCATAGAATCCCTACAGTGTGGAAACAGGCCATTTGGCTCAACAAGTCCACACTGACCATCAGAACATCCCACCCAGACCCATTCCCCATAACCCACCTAATCTGCAAATCCCTGAACAGTATGGGCAATTTAGCATGGCCAATCCACCTAACCTGCACATCTTTGGATTGTGGGAGGAAACCAGAGCACCCAGAGGAAACTCACGCAGACATAGAACAGTACAGCACAGTACAGGCCCTTCGGCCCACGATGTTATGCCGAACTTTTACCCTAATCCTAAGGTCTATCTAACCTCCACCCCTACCTTATACTATCATCCATATGCCTATCTAATAGCCTCTTAAATGCCCCTAATGAGGCCGACTCTACTACCCTCTCCGGCAATGCATTCCACGCCCCGACCACTCTCTCAGTAAAGAACCTACCTCTGACCTCTCCCCTATATCTACCTCCACTCACTTTAAAACTATGCCCCCTCGTAATAGCTACCTCCACCCTAGGAAAAAGTCTCTGGTTGTGTACTCTATCTATACCTCTGATCATTTTGTACACCTCTATCAAGTCACCTCTCATCCTTCGTTGTTTGAAAGAGCAAAGCCCTAGCTCTCTCAACCTTTCCTCGTAAGACCTTCCCTCCATTCCAGGCAACATCCTCGTAAATCTCTGCACCTTTTCCAATGCTTCCACACCTTTCCTGGAATGAGGTGACCAGAACTGGACACAATACTCCAGATATGGCCGAACCAGGCTTTTGTATAGCTGGAGCATAACTTCACGGCTCTTGAACTCAATCCCTCTATTAATGAAAGCTTACACACCATACGCCTTCTTAACAACTCTATCCACCTGGGTGGCAGCTTTCAGGGAACTGTGGACATGAACCCCAAGATCCCTCTGCTCTGCCACACTGCCAAGAATCTTTCCGTTAACCCTGTATTCTGCTTTCAAGTTTGTCCTTCCAAAATGAATCACCTCACACTTTTCAAGGTTAAACTCCATCTGCCACTTCTCAGCCCAGCTCTGCATTCTATCAATGTCCCTTTGTAACCTAGAACAGCCCTCCACACTGTCCACAACACGAGCCACCTTCGTATCGTCCGCGAACTTACTAATCCACCCTTCCACTCCTTCATCCAAATCATTTACAAAAATCACAAATAGAAGAGGACCCAGAACAGATCCTTGTGGTACACCACTCATAACTGAGCACCATGTTGAATATTTTCCGTCCACTACCACCCTTTGTCTTCTAAGGGTGAGCCAATTCTGAATCCAATCTGCCAGATTTCCCCCTATCCCATGCCTCCTTACCTTCTGCATGACCATCCCATGGGGAACCTTATCAAACGCCTTACTTAAATCCATGTATACCACATCCACTGCTCTACCCTCATCCACGTGTTTGGTCACCTCTTCAACGAATTCAATAAGGTTTGTGAGGCATGATCTACCCCTCACAAATCCATGCTGACTATGACGAATCAAACTGTGCCTTTCCAAGTGATCATAAATCCTATCTGTCAGAGCCCTTTCCAATAATTTGCCCACCACTGACATAAGACTGACTGGCCTGTAATTTTCGAGGTTATCCCTATTCCCTTTTTTGAACAAGGCAATGACGTTTGCCTCTCTCCAATCTTCAGGCGCTATACCCGTGGAGAGCAAGGACGAAAAGATCATCGCCAAAGCCCCTGCGATCTCTTCCCTCACTTCCCATAGAATCCTTGGATAAATCCCATCAGGTCTGGGGTCTTATCTATCTTCAACTTCCTCAAAATTCCTAGCACATCTTCCTTACTAACATCGACCTCCTCCAGCCTACCAGCCTGTTTCACACTGTCCTCCTCTA